AGGCGTTCAGCTCCCACCTCCTTTCACACTGCCACGGCAATTCTGATTACACTAACTGCGTCTGCTCTGTTCTAACCGCTTTAGCTGCCCCGCTAAACCTTTGTACAGACCCCCACCCTCCCCTCCTCTCCTCTCAGCGGTAGAGAAAGTACAATTAAAACTAAAGCTTTCAGACATTTCAGCAGCACGAGAGGGACCCGCACCTGAGTGGAGAGCTGCATTTGTCATCCCCACTAGGCAGGTCCCATCAATAGATACCATACGTCTGTCTTCAGTCCCAGTCTGGGCTGCTGGTTTATACCCCATCCTCATTCACACCCCACACCTTGTCACGCCCCCAACTTTTCCCTTCCAAAGGTGAACGTGCTCTCCAATTAAGTCAACACTCCCTCCACCCCACCCCTCCGAATACCCCTTTCCTTCTGTGCAGTTGTTATTTCCTTCATTCCTATTTTTCTTCCTTTCCCTCTAAAGATGCTAGGTTTCTGGAACTAATTGAATCAAGAGTCCTGCAAAGGCTTTCGCGGCCAGCATCTGGCAACCTTCAGGGGCCTACACCAAGCTGCGTTTGTTGGGGTAGAAAAGTCTAAAGCTCCCCCACTCTTCCCTTCCCCCCCTCCTGCCACCGGTTGTATATTCTTAAACCAATCTCGAGGCACATGCCAACCGTGGATCCAACGCAAGGTCTCCAGGAGAACAGTGTACAGCTCAAAAGGGCAGCTAAAGGCATTTGAACAGCAGCCGCTTAAAAAAAAAAAAAAGGGCAGCACAATTCTAAACCCTGCTTTGCTTTGGAGGGGAGCCGCGGAGCGCTGGAACCAACGATTTGCAGAGGAGCCAGAACGAGTTAGGACCCTGATTCCGCTGCGGGGAAGTCAACAGGAGTGGAAGCAGGATCAGGCCCTAAGTACACAACTGCCACTGAAATTCTAATGTGGGTGTTTAATGCTCCTTGGGCTCCTCTGCTGACTCCCAGTTTAAGGGAAGAACAGGAAACCGAAGGCAGAGTTTTAAAAAGTGATGCATAAAGGTCAAAAAGCAGAGCCGAAAAAAAGCTGCCCCATGCTACCCTATAAAGGGCAGACAGGGCCTTGGTTTGGCCATTCTCTCACAGATAAGATGCACCCCAGGAAACATTCACTTACATACAACACATGCTTGGCCCTCCTTTTTTCCTCCAGCTTCAAAGAAAGAAATGAAAGGGGGGAGGGGGAGAAAAGAAAAGAAACCCCATAACGTAATTGCTATATTAAAAAGAAATGGCAGGCAAGAATAATAAGGGAGGTGTCAGAAGTGAAATACAGTAGCAGACATTAAAAAAAAGACTACAGTTCTGTGATGGGGGTGTTAATTGAACACAGAGAAAGGCAGAGAGCTAGAGAGAACAAAGGGGTGCTAAGGAAAAAAAATAAATAAAATATTCTACCTCCTCCAAAGAGCTGATTTGAGTTAACTTTCATGAAGATAATACATAGGGGAAGGGTGGCTAAGAAGTGCCTTATGTAGCTACTATGTTCAAAATTTAAAAACAAAAACAAAAAAACCCCAAACAAACAAACCAAAGCCACTATCAACAACAATTGCACAGCTAATCATTGCTGTCTATAAATATTCCACTTAATAAATTTCATCTGTTGGGGGTGTATTAATTTTCCTTTTATACCTGAATTACTTTGACACACAGAAGGGAAAAAAATAAATTGAGAAATTTAAAACAAATAAAAAAGTCAGGGTCCTTTTAAACAGAATGTGTTTCACATTCCCACATCCACGGAAGAAGCAAAAAAGTGAATATCCCTTCTAATGTTTAAGGAGGAGCGATCGGATTAAATGATCATAGATCCTGCGTTCACCTTCTCTCTCTTCTCCATTCCCCATCAAACGAGATGGGAGTTGGAAAAGGCTCACAGCTGAAATAGACGCTGCTGCATTTTGACAGCAGATATTTTCCAGTTTGCTATCCAAGGACTGCACGTCTGCGTTTGCCTTGCCTGATTCCTCTACTTAGCAATTCTGCTCAGGCAGAGAATCATCTAAAAACACAAACAGGAACCCCCAACCCTTGCAAACTTTTCATAATTGCCAGTGCAATTTTTTTAATTTAAATTTCTATTGACTGGGAAATCAATTGCATTTGAGACAATGATGGCTTCTATTTTTATTATTATTTTATTCCAAAAAGCCAATTAGCCATTTGAAGCTAGTCCTACCAATTAGCCCCCAACGAAGCAACCAAAAAAGAAGGGAAAACACTGCAAATTAGCAGAGACTAATCATGTGTACATTTAAGCAACAATTTTTCCTGCATTAACCTCAAATCAAATCTCTCCACTTACTACTTTTTAAAAGACATCACCCTGAAATAGACAAAAGAAACTAACGGATTCCAGCAAACAAGCATTAAAAAAAAAAAAAAAAAAAAAAACGCATGCCTATAAATCCTTTAAAATAATTGAAGAGTCATCTTGCAAAAGGGGACTCCAGCCAGTAAAGACAACCTCTTTTTCTAAGAACTTCATGGACACTTTGGGTTCGCTCAGACTACGTTAACGCTATGAAATATTAGCCGGAATGTTGCGGGAGTTGGTGGTAAAGTCTCCATCAGGCTCTGGAGTCACTTAAATCAAGCTGTTTGAAAGCGAATCCCCATTTCCGCACATTGTAACGCTTGAGATGGGACGAGTGGAACACACACACGCTCGCACACTCGCCCCACCAGAACCACAAGCCACTTGAGTAGCCAGGATTTTATCCGACAATGGATTCCTCCCCATTGACTCCACATCAGAAATTCAGATATGGGGAGGAAATCTAACTTAGCCCAACTTTCACCTATGCACACCTGCACCTTGGATTGCACTAGGCCTGCGTGTTCCTTTTGGATGAGATTCATCTTCGGAGGACCACGGCTACTCAGCTATAGAATTTGGTCCAAGAAAATAATAATAAAGATACCACCTGCACCTTTCTTAGTTTCAAGTGTGATGGATCTTTCTTTTCTTTTTTTTCCCCCCACTCATTTATAAAGCAAATTATTCTCCATACACATATAGCTGACTTGATAAAAATTCATTTCAAATGCCATCCTAATTTACCTATTTGGGGGGTTATTCTGTTTAACACAGCAGCCTCCCGTCTAGCAATCCAGCCAGAATGATTAAAGGGAGACGGTACCAATCCACACCTGCTCTTTGTTTGCACTGTCACACTTTGACCTAATGTCTCTCTAGATTTTAATTAGGGGATCGGAATTAACACACCCACTCATTATGGACACTCAAATGTTCCCACCTCGCTCCGATTCCGTATAGCCCAACAGCTTCTCCAAATATTAGAGCGGATGGGGGTGTGGGTTGTTGTTTTCCCCCCGCTGTATTTCCAGTTGCTCTAATTCAAAAAGAATCATCCCCTACAACTTCACAACTGCTTTGATTACAAACCAGGGCAGATATTGATTAGAGACTGGGCCAACCACCAACATTTTATAGACAACATTGTCAACAAAAGAAATAAGAGGAAGAGAGAGACCGGTCGTTTTCTTGGCTAACAGAAAATAAAAGGAGAGGAAGAAAAGGCACTTGCAGAATTTCCAAGGCATCTCTGATATTTATATATACACAGGGTCCATTACATTATAAGAACCATATACAGGCTCCATTAAATTATAGGAAATATATAATGAACGGCTTCTCAAGAAGGTCAGGCACTGGCAATGCAGCCCTAAGGACTTCAGAGAGTTGAATGCCACTGCTAGGTGCTTTGTCTAGGTTACAAGCTGCTCAAACAACATTTAACAAAGGGTCTCCTTAGTCATATTATATATATTACAAGAGTCAAGTAACCACATTTTCAATCAGCTGCTAACACAATGAGGCGCATATATATATATATATATATATATATATATATATAAAAATTTTAAACAGACACAGATTCAGGTTTCCGAAAGCTGCTCTCCCCCACCATGTGTAACTATCAATGTATATCAACTGGGCGTGCAATCATATTTATTGTCACTTCCATTCATGTCATGCCCTTGCTTATATAGTTTAGATATGAATTATTGACTGTTACAGTCCTGCTGGTAAAAGGGGGGGGGGGGGGGAAAGTCAAGTAGCTCGCAGTGTGCTAAAAAAGAAGCTGTTGGATCAGGCTGCCTATATGCAGTTCATTTTTCTGGGAGGCGTAAGCAAGGATTTTACCCATTCGGAGGGAGGAAAAATAAAATTGCAAAAAATAAAATAAATACATGGCGGCGGATGTTGCTAAATGTCCTTCCCTGAGCATCTGTTGTTTAAGATCACCCTTGATTGATGACTGCTATTTTTTAATTGTTGCTTTTAAAATTTAAATGCCCCCCTGGGATGTGTTATAAGTGTGTTAGTGCATGGTAGGAGGTCTGGAAAAGTGGGAACCAGCAGAATGAGTGTTGTGATGTCATTACCACCCTTACAGGAGAACACCCCCTGCCATAAAACAACAGTACCCTAAAGTAATCAACAATCTAATAGACAGGCTTCCACTAAAGGTATTTGACAACTTTCTCTGTGTGTTATCTGGTATCAGTGACTGGTAGATACACAGGGATTTTAACTTTATTTAAAATAAAATTAAAAAAAAACTTTAGAAGTGTATTTTTATTCTTTTTATCCTTATTTAAGAGACAAAGTGAAAACACCTTCTTAGGGGGTTGTTGTTGTTTTTTGTTTTAAATCTATTTTCCGAACAGTTTTCATAGCAGTGCAATATTTTAAAGATGTAACAAGAGAGACGACATATTAAAAGCAGCAAAGGTTGCATGGGTGAAGATTAATTAACATTTTCTCCTCTTCAATAGATACCCTACTATGCAATGTTAATGCCAGAAGTGTAAAATATTCCATTTTTCCCTTTGGAATAATATTAAAAAATAAGAACTTTTGAGGAGAGGGGAATACCCTTAAAGTGAAAAAACAAAATTGGCACAAAACCCATAAGATCATCAGAATCCCCATTCCTACCTGTTTTTTCTTTGATTTCACACAAGACGTTAAAAAGGGCCGGCTTCATTCTGTGGCAGTTTAAAGCATGTTTTCTGCAAGAAAGAAGCAAGGTTAGGGTGCCATGGCAGCTCAAGACAACTTTCAAAATTGAAATTGGCTAGTATGTGCAAAAGGAGGGGGAAAATACAATTAAATACCTATAAATACAATATACATTTTGGCCAAAACTGCACAGGAAGCCACCATGCAATAACTTTTAGGACTTTAACTGATGATCTTTCATTCTTGAGGGGCTACCCACTAACACAGATAACATAAATTAGGCCAATTTAGGAATTACTTGAAAATGGCATTTGCTACTAAGTGGCATTCATAATCTAGCAGCCCTAGCCAGGCAATTAACAGCCAAAGCCAGGAACATGTGGAAGACATGAAATACACAGCACTGAGATCTGTCTCCCTCCCTCTCACCCCGTCCTCACACTACCCTCCTTTCTATTTAATACACCCATGTGTTCCAATTCATCCTGCAGATGCCCCTCAATATTTGAAAGTTGCACCGATTGGAACTGTCAATTTATAGCATTTCAGGACCCAAGTTAAAGAGAATGGAAATGCACTGCCAGGGGCAAACACACACATCTGGGCACAGAAATGCATTTTTTTCATGTTTACATTATGCTTCTTGTGTACACACTGCCTGCTTGCTGATGTTAAGATTCAATTATTGACAATTAGAACACTACACTCATTTAAAAAAAAAAAAAAAAACGCACACACACACACACACACACACACACAACCTTCTGCTTGGTGGATTTTTTTAAAATTTTCTTTTCTTTTCAGGTGGCAGGGATTGGTTATTGTTTTTGAGGGAAGCAGGAGAGTTGCTTGTTTAATTGGCTGGTTGCCTTTAAAACCCATCAGGTTCCCACTTAAGCAAAGAAACAAATGTAATTTTTTTAGCCATCTAATCACTTTGCAAAGGGCTTGGTTGTATAAAGGGCTGTTCTGATCAGGCATCAATTATGGGAATGTTGTTTACTAACTGAAATGATATATAAAGGTGGTGGGAATATCTGGCAAACATTCACTATTATTTTCCTCACCACCACCCCGCCTTATGGTAAAAGATTGGTATACAAAGTCTCTCAAAGGCATAGCCCAGAAAAGCCACACTGTCACCTTAGCAGAGAACTCAAATGATCACAGCCATTTGTATATAAACAACGCGTATGTGCTTCACACACACAGACACTATTAGCAATTTACATTTTTAAAGGAACTTCATAAAAACTAATATGGGATGCATACGCAGGACTGAAAACCACGCAGCGCTGGAAAATACAGTCGGTTTCACAGCCGAAGAGAAAGTCCTGTAAGGAAGTAGCTGTGGATAGCCCAGCAAGGCAAAACATGGAGCATCATCCAGGTCTCAAAGTTCTGTTTGTTTTTAATTTGATTGAATGTAAATTACACATGCAGGAAAATACACACACACACACACACACAATTCCTGTAACTTTCAGGATAAAGATTTCCCCCCCTCCCACAGCTCTGTCTGGGCATAAAGTGGGACAATTCTTCATCCTAAAAGCTACCAAGCTCTGCTTCTATAACAATCAGCCCAATAACAAAGTATCCTACGATATTGGGGTTTTAAGGCTAAGAAGACAGAGAGACCAAATATAATAGCATAGCCTCACCCCTTTGGAAGTAGATCCAAGCTAGTTTATTGGGATGTAGTTTTTCCATGAACAATGTTCTCTAGCAATCTGTTCCATTGTGGAACATATGTGCCAGTGAGAACTATACCACACCTAAAAGCTTTTCTTCAGATAATAAAATTCTAATTTATACCAGACAATTTTTGGCAACTTTATATTCAAAAAATAACTGTGCCTTCATTTTTTTTAAGTTTGGCTGGAGCTTCTCAAAGCGGTCTATTGAGCTTGTATGCGGTGAAGTCGAATACATTCCAGTTAGCAGATTTTTACTGCTTTTTTTCTTTTTAATATCCCATCATAAAAAAATCTATGCACATCTGCCCCAACCATAAAATGTAGCCTTAGCAAAAAGCGCATTATTTTAAAATGTGTCCAAAGATGATACACCACTTGGTGCATTTTCTATGGAATTCAAAGCAGGCTACTGTGTTTTTAAAATTGTCTGCTATAAAATGAAATACTACAACGCAAATGCTGAAGAAGAATCAGCTGCCATCCCCAAATCCTATTCCAAAAGTGTACATAATCCACACATGGTTCCAATAACACATGGTAGTGTCATAGGTGCTTAATGCGGCGGATGAAGGGGGGGGAAAAAGAGAAAGAGTGTAGTTTTTGTACATATATCTGGATTAGACAGTAAACCCACAGGAAACTGGCCCAAGTTTTTTTTGTTTTTGTTTTTTAAATCCCAACACCCCAAACAAGAATTTGAGTACGACTTTTTCAATGAATAAAAGCAAATATCCACCCCCAACCTTCATGAAAAGGGCCTGCTTTTTAAAATCCCACAGAAAAGCTTTTCTAAAAGGGCTGATAACTGGCGACAAAGAAAGTGATTTGTTTTTACACACACACAAAACCACAAAAGAGCAAGGAATCAATTTTTGTAGAAATCCTAACCGTCCCAAGACACGGGCAAGAAAGGCGGGATGAAAGGAATGAAAATCAAATAATTTAGCAATAAAGTCTAGCTTGGGACTTTCTCCTCCTGGGATACCACCCAGCAAGATGATGTTCAAAACTTAGCCCTCCTGTCCTGTTCGACTCCAGGCGCCATGGAAGTGAGGAAGGCCGGCTTGAGATCAGAGAGCAGTTTCAAATAGATAGATACAGGCAGACAGATATAATGTAACTATATCATACCACCGAATTTATATATATATATATATATATATATATATATATATATTATATACACACACACACACACACACACACTTGTGATCAACATTTCTACTGTAGCTCTGGTTCCTTCCCTTCCCCGACCTAGCTAATATTCAAAGCAGAGAAAGCACAATGAAGAAACCCAGCACTATGCAAGGAGGAAGAGAAGATTTCGCCTCCCCCCGCCTTCCCCATCTCACCTGGCTTGTGCCTCATCCAAACTCTGATCTGTGATGGTCATGATCTGCTGTAAAATGTCTCCAATGTCTTGTTTCCTGCCTCCCTCGCCCTCTGTCCCTCCTGCTCCATCCTGCATGTGTTGGGACAGGCCGGGATGTCCTGCCATCCCCACCCCAGCATGGGAATGCATCAACCTGGGTTGATCGTCCATCGCCCAAGCTAGCAGCAGCAGCAGTCCCTTTTCTCCTTCCTTCTCCCTCCGGCTCCTTCGGCGCGCCTCCTAGGGAGAAACCAGGCTTTTTATCCTTCACGCTGGCTCCAAATCCTTCTTCTCGGGAGGAGGAAATTAAAAAAAAAGGCAAAACGAGAAAGGGGGGAGGGGGATCCCGTTGCTTCTTGAAGGGAGGGGGGAAGGGGACGCGGGGGGGGGGGGGGGGGGGGGGGGGAGAGGATGACTCCAAAAAGCAAGAAAAATAAACCTCCTTGCCACTTGGTGGGGGGGGGGGGAAATCAGAGCTGGATTCTGGCTGCTTTCTTAGTCCCGGGCTCCTTTTGCAATCGCAGAAATGAGCTATCAGCCTTTAAATCTGCCTCTTAATCCTTTTGCAAATAGGCATTGATCTGGGGAAGGCAGGGGCGAAGGAGGGTTGCAAGGCAAACTTTCCCCCACCCCCCTCCAGCCACTGCCAGAGCGATCTCAAAGGGGGTGGGCTGGTTTGCTTTCTTTCTTCTTTCCTCTCCCCTTCTTCTTGCAAAAGCCAGAGCTCTGCCCCCACCCCAGCAGTAGCAAAGCAAGCAAAATACCCTCCCTTTTCTCTCTGTCTCTGCAAACTCCAGCAGCCCCCTCTGCCTCCTGCTTTTGTTTAGCTCAGGCTCAGGACTCCTGAAACTGACACAGAAAAAAGCCACAGGAGAAGAGAGCCAAGCTGCCCACCCCTCTGCCTTGATTGGCCATCTGGGAAGGGCCCGAGCTCCTCCCACCCCTTCCTCAGACACATACACTCACATCCCCACCCCACCCCCCCAGCTTCCTGTCAATCACCGGGTTCAGAGGTGGGCTGTGCCCTGCTTCCATCCGAAGTCTCCAGTCCTTAAAGGTGCAAGGGGGTCTTTGCAAAAGAAAGTGCACTTGGCCTGTTTCCCCCCCCCCCCGCGCCCCGATGTGCTTGCTCTTCCTAGGGGAGGGGAAGGCTCCCAAACCAGCCACCCTGCAGCCCTGGGAAAAGAAACAAAAGGAGGTTTATTGCAAACATGTCAACATACCACTGGTTTACTCGCTTGCACGTCCTTGCGAAAGCATTATTTGCATGCTGGGTAGCAGGGAGGTGCCAGCTGTGATTTAGGAAAAGGGCCTGGTTCGCTCGGCAGGCTGGGCAGCCCTATACCTTCAGAATGAGGAGGCAGGCCCCAAGAAACCCTGGGGCTGGGTGAAAAACACAGGATTTTTTTTACAAAACAAAAGAAATAAACACCAGGTTATTTCATTCTCCTGAAGTTTCTGAGCCTTTAGGTTACAGTTGGGTCAGGTTCTCAGCCTTTCCTCCACAATCATGAAGACTAGAAGTTTTTTTTTTAAATGAACTCCTTGTCTAATCCACTGACTCCAGGAGTTGGGGCTTTAAGACATACACCAAATACTATAAGAGTTGGCAGTGCTGGCTCTGGGTGACAATTTTGCAATAGGAGAGTTCAGTTAAATGAGTGCTCGCCTTTCTTCCCAAGTGCCAGAGGGGTTCTGTGCAGCAAAGGAAGTTTTGGAATGATTTACAGAGCACCATCAGTGCTGGCCCTCCCCTGTACAAATAGAGCTGTATATGGTGCCCGAACTCAATCTCTTTAAACTGCCTTTGTGGGATTAAGTGAAGTGAACCGGGGCACCACCACCTTGAAAATCATATTTTGTCTGGAAATATTACAGTGGCCTAAGTATAAGTAACTCCTGTTTCACAGCTAGTAAACGTGATGTTTCCCTCAAAGAGAAAGTGACCGATTCCCCCTCCCCCTGAGCAGTGGTAGGGGTCTGGCATTGAGGCACCTGAATGAAAAGCGGCCAACATGTCTATCCACTGCCATGAGATCTGTGACTGCCCACAGATCAAACACACACTTGTCTGGAGCTACCCAACCTCCCGCATAATAGCAGGAGCCGGCAGCATGAGCAGACAGAGAAGTAGAGGGGCTCAGCAGTGCCTACCCATGGCCAGGCAGAGTCACTGCAAGGGGATACCAGCTGCCTGCCTCGGACTCAGCTGGGTGCCTGAGCATGCAGCAGGTGTGAACATCACATGAGGCCCCTGATGTGGCCTAATGTGGGTAACACTGAAAGAGATTGTCAGGTCTCTGTGCCTGGTCTGCACAGGAGATCTGTGCTGCTGACCTACCTTGGGGGGTATATGTCCCCTGTTTGCCAGGAGATCCATATTGCTGGCACACATCACACAGGTCTTTGTCCTTGTTCTGCCCAGGGGGTTCCTGTCCCTGGCTGGTCAGTTGTAATCCCTGTCTCATGCACTGCTCCACATGGAGCTCACATGCAAGCTCTGCCCCAGGGCCTGTAGGAGGATATTCAGCAGTAACACAGCACCAGAGCAGCTGCTGGTTCTGAGTCTGGGGCCATGATGGTGTCATCTATTCCCAGGACCACTGCATAGAGCTTGTGAGGAACAGGAGCTGGATGGCAGCCAGTGGTACACCTTTCTGCAGGGAGCCCCCATCAATCTCTGCATCCCTTTATGACTGAGACCAGGAGTAGAAGACAAATGATCCTTGTTCTTCTCTCTACAGAGCTCTGCACAGACCTGGGGAGTAGGGTTGCCAATTTTCTAATTCCAGAAAACCGAACACTCTTGCCCTGCCCATTCCTGCCCACTGCCCCGCCCCTTCCCCAAGGCCCCACCCCTGCCTGAGCCCGCCCCCGCTCACTCCATTCCCCTTCCCTCCATCGCTTGCTCTCCTCCACCCTCTCTCACCTGCTCATTTTCACTGCAAGTCCCAAACAAGCATATTTATTGTTTTGACAGATGTATTATGTTAAGTTCAGGTTTTATTTGTTACAGGACACTAGAGCTGGCAACAAAATAGTCAAAAGGGGTAATTTAAAAAAAAATGAAATTTCACAAAGGTTTTCATGATTCTTTCCCTCCCCTCTTCCCATTTTTCGTAACCAGCTCCATGTTTTTTGATCACTAAAGTTATTGTAATTTTATGTGTAGAATCAGGACCACGCATTATCAGAGCTGCAGTGGGTACATTAAAAGCCCACTCCCAAAGCCCAAATACAAATCCATAGAGCACAACCACAGAAATGCACACCTATCCAGATACCTATATAAATAAATCTGTAGAACCTGACTCCCACACCTAAATGCAGAAACACAGGTGTATTCATGTATACACATCTAGCATGCACTAACACACATACTTCCGCATTATTTATTATTATCATTGTTGTTTAGCCTAGAAACCCCAACTCAGAGCAGGGCTCCAGGGTGGTAGGTGCTGGACATACACATAAAAAGAGAGTCTGCAACGAAGAGTTTATAATGTAGCTAGACAAAGGTGGGAGAAATGTATGATACATTGGCTCTTCTGCAATTACTAGTCAACATTCACTTTTTAAGAAATAATACATTTCTTTTAGAGTTCCCTTCTCTTTTAAAAACTTGTTATGAAATGAATACACACATATTTTGTGGCATCAGTTTTTTTGTGTGCAAACCAGCAAAAGGAATAAAAGTCAAAGAGATACGCTGCACATTTTATTCACACAGATATACACACATGCGGCAATACACGCACCTCCCTACACAAAGACACACAGTCTCTTACACACATAAATGCATGCATGCACACACTTGCCTACACAGAGACACTTTTTTATACACTTTTCCAGGGGCTGCCTAAATCACCCAGCTGGGAAGGGAGGAGAGTGGGCTGGAGGGGTAAAGATGGGGGTGGGTGGGTGGAGGAGAGAGGATGGGGAAGGAAAGAGGCCAAGGACAAGAGCAGGGTGGGGGTGAGAGGGGGCAGTGAAGGAGAGAGGAGGGGGTGTGGGGGGGTATGTGGGGTGGATGGGGATGCAGGGGGAGGCAGAAGGCTACAGGTGCATGAGGATGTGGAGGGCACAGAGGTGTATAGGGACATAATGGGAGTGCAGCAGTGTATGGAGGTGAATAGGGTGCAGGGCTGTGGGGGGTGAGGGACATGGGGGTGGTGGCTCTGGGAGGTGGAGAGGAT